GGAATACAAATATATATATTTTTTATCAATTCTACTATCATAGATGTATATAATCTATATTGAAATTTAGTCTATTTATTAAAAAAATTATATTAATTATTTTATATACATTTGTTTTTCATTTAGGCATTATCCATGTATTCTCCCCATTGCTAATTATCCGGCGCCTTTCTTCTCAAAAATTATTTTCTTAAGACTCTTAAATCAGCATATATTGCATCAAATCATTCTTTTTTTAAAAGCCATGTTCTTCTTTTCACTTCATCTTTCTTCTTTTAATTCGCTGTTCTATAAGCACACAATCTTTCAGATTCAATATATATTATGATGTTACGGTTATGGTAATCTGCATTTTCCTTCTATCGGACACTATTTTCTTCTTAACATTATTTAAGTAATCTATCCAGCCCTTATTTGGCTAGACAGCTATATATGTACGTATGTATTATTACTCTATATATTAAAACGTTTCGTCCAATTACATAGATACTATAGTTTCAGTTATGGTTACCTAATTGTCTTAAACTGGCACGATTTTGAAATCAAATCATTAAATCTTCATTCCATTGGAGTTTAATAACTATATTTTTTGCTCCAATACCTCCTTTTTGAAGAAATAATTGAAAATTGTGTAGTGGAGTTTATTTTAATTAACTTTGCATTATAGCGAAGCTTGTCGAAAGTATAAGACCACCTACTTATCTCAAGAATTAGGTTTCATATATAAGCAGCTGACGTCACTACTTTGAAGTGTTCTGTCCTGACGAAATTCATAAGTAAGAATTGATTTCATTTTCCAACTTGATTCCTAATATGAGGACATTAATTTGTAGGATGATTCCTAGTAATTAGCTAAATACAAGGAATTTTCTACGTGCTAGACTCATTCAAATGTGTTTGGAATTTCTGGTTAAAATAATTAAATATATTACTTTTTGCTTAAAATAAACGCATTCATATGAAATTTGGGTGACGCCTTACCACATCAGAAGCAGTGCATTTTACCATAATAAGTAATACTCTTATAAAGGTTCTCACTTTTTCGTAAAAATTTTACTAAAAGGGAATAATTTTTTTCGTCCCTTTCATGTTCGGTTTAAGCAAAAAGTACTACAGATTCTATATCTTGGATTGCTTTTATATTTTACAAGTATTCTATTTAAAAAAAATTGTTCATCTCATATGTTACATACAACTGTATTAATCTTCTTAACAGGTTAGCAAGTCCTTGCTGACCTACCTTCATATTGTCCGTATTAACGCTTTGTGCATCTTTGGAATCATCGTTGTCATTTATTTGTGCTGCAGGATTACTTAAACCACCAACTGCATCGTTATCGAGATTATCTTCATCCACATTTTCATCATCGTCATCTTCAATGAAATCAACAACATCATCCGCCACGTTTTTTACCCTTTCGGTGTTCAGAAATTCATTTCCGTTTTGCTCAATACTTTTGTGCGTTGCAGACGGTGAAAAATTGTCGGTTCCGTTTCCTAAGACCACAGCGCTGCCACCTGAACACCGTCGTCTTGAGAGGGGAGTTGTATTGTTGGGGGCATCCTTTTGACTTGTTGTCTTAGTGGCATTCGAATTTGTACTTAAACGTCGTTGCTGTGTTAGTGGCGATTGGCTGAAGTTGCGTAAATGCACTTCATCTGATACCAATTTGTCATCCATGTTGCGCTCCTCTTGTGTTCTATTTAAGATAGAAAAAAAAAAAGAAAAAATGGATGTGAAATAATAAAATTATTTTCTATTTTCTATTTTCTTTTTTCTTATTATTTTTAGAATTTTAAATTTTTTCATAAATAATCAAAACGTTTTCATTTGATAAAAGGGTCGGTCGGTCATTCAGCTAATATTGATGTAAATGAATGCAAAAATATGTCAATAGTTTTTTAGTTGAAATCCTTCACCCAAATTTATGTAAACAATATTCTGTTGACATTGTTTGTTTTATGTTTGCTCTCCAAATGAAACAAAAATATTAAATCTATATTATTTAATATTTATGTTTGCCAAAAAAAAAACTAAGAAAAAATTAGAAAAATTAGAAATATTCATGTTGACCATTTGTTTTATTTTATATAATATAAATGTCTGAAGATAAAAGACAATAATGTCAGCCAACATTGACATACTTGTATAGGCCAAAATCCACTTGCTTATGGTCATTTCTATTGCCTTAGACTCCAAAGAATAAAAAAAAGTTGAAATTAATAAGAAAATTGTGCCAAATGTCGTATTACTTTGATGGAAGACAGGATTTTCCTGTCTCTTCACTTGCATTTTTTATTTATTATATTGATTTATTTGAGAATTTTTTGGTTTTGTTTAAATTATTTTTTTTTTGCGCTAAATAAATATAAGTATATATATACGCTTATATGTATATCGATACTACATATTTATAATATTTGTCATTGGCAATTGAAAGCTTGTAATGCAAATGTAAATTCGTTTTCCCTGTCATACACTGAAAGCTTTATTATTGACTTAACCATTGCCAATCCTGTACCCATGCAATAAATCCTATTCCCTGTCTATACACTTTTCTAGCAATCTAGAGATCTAGACTATTTTGTTCATTACTTTAAATAATTATTTTTGAATAAATTATTTTTTGAAGTATGTATATAACAAATCCAAGTTTGCACATAAAATAAATGCTTTAATAAAAGTACAAATTTATGTCAGTTTTAAGCAGATAGATACTCTTCAATAGTAGTTACTGAAGTCTAGTTATTTTGGTTTATTATAAAATCTTATGTTTAAATGCTATCCAGAATTTTAAAATTAAACAACAATTTAATTTATTTTTGAATATTTCTTATATTCACCTTAAAAATAATCTCTATTCAAGATGTTATACATATGCCAACGATTTGTTCAGTCCTCAAATTACAACGTAGGGTTCTTACCACTAGACGATCACGACCATTATTTCCTTAGGTAAACCTAGTTCACTAAGTGTTCAGTTTCTCGCTGGCATCTCTCTACCCTGATTACTGTAATGAAGTTTCCATGTAATGAATTTTTGGAAATCTTCTTAAAAGGGGAATAATTAGTGAATTCAAATCTTCAAATTACTTTTCATAGCCTGACAGAACTATGGCTACTAGCGAATTATGTTTTATGGACTCAAAAACAAACGCTTTCCCTTATGTAGTTATTCGAGTCTAGGTTTCAAAAAAAGTCGACAGTTGCCATATCAGTTGAATATGGGTATTGTGGAATATTGATGTTGTTTTTGGTGCAATAATCACACACAAGACGAGATGTGTGGTAGTAGGTACATTACAGAGGTGAAAATACCATGAGTTGTTTTGCTACAATTTCGGCTTTTTCGACAAATATCCTTCCTTAAATGATGCAATACGCCCAATGTTTGTTCTTCTGAATGGAAATCTTTATACACAATATCTCGATTTTTTTCGTTAATTGCTATGAATAGATTACGAACATACGGCAAGTTTTTGATAACTTGATGACACGCTTTGAAAGCCTTTTACTACTCATATGCTACAGTTTCGACATTTACGAATCACTTTTTGTTGATTTTTTAGTGGATTTGTAAAAAAAATTCGATTCTACAACAAAATTTTCATGTGCCAACTACGTACCCAAGTTGGACTTGTTAAAACTCAGCTATTGGTTTTAATTTGATATATTCAACACTGATAATATCACTAACCGTAAGAACGAAAAAATGAGTATATTCGGTTTAAATAAAAACTTTCGGGTTATATTTAGACATAAGTTACTTTATCATATCTAGTAGTGGCTCGGAGTGAATGGATGAAATAGGCTAAAAAAAAAAAAGTGAATTAAATACGGTTGTTAGAATACGCTTACATTCGACCTAAGTGACGTTAGCTCCATTGCACAAGCTATCGATGTATTTATGATCTTGAAGGGAGGAATCTACTGAACATGGTTGTCAATAATTGTGGCACGGAAGAAGGTGTTGGTTGGACAGCCTGCAGTTGGTTGTGCTCTTTTATAACAAGCATTTTCGATTCTGTTTGAAGGTGGTCGATATGCGATGACAGCTGGTCGTTATCCGCAATTTAGTGTTCTCACATAATTGGATGTTACTTTATTGCGTCTAGCGGAATTAAGGTCTTTCTGTCATTTACTGACTAAAATCTTTGTATGCTTTTTACAGTGATTATGAAAATATTCACATTCACCATTATGAGATTTTCCAAAACAAAATGCTAGGTGCAGCTTTCAGCATGAATAAGATATTCAACTGTGTTCGTTTGTGGACAAACTTTCTCACAATCCTTGAAACAATATCCAATAAACTTTCTATTTTATGTGTAGTTGCTCGTAGTTTTGAATAAAATAATTATATCACTCTTTTCTTGATGATTTTAAACAGTTGGGGATTTAAGGAAAAAGTAACAAGAAAACATTTTCAGTTTGTCTGCAATAAATAATTTTCATAAAATAAACTCTTAGAAAACCTTGAAAGTTGCATTAAAGAAAATTTTTACATTAATAAAAGGGGTTAGGCACATCACAACAGTTTTTTAGTTCTTTTCATTTTAACTTATGCAGTAAACACAAGGGAAGTTAGATAAAAAGTTACTACTAGTATGATTCTCAGAACTTAGGTACATAGTTATTATCAGTATGATTTTCAATAATATCTGCGGAAATTAGATAAATTGCTTATAACGCTATGATTTTCAAAATTCCAAGGAAGTTCAGCTAAAAACTTACTGACTCGCAACTGGTTTTTATTAATTTTAAATACGTTTCTATTAGTCGTATACCCCCAGGTATCAAAGAGTAAAAGTGCCCAGTTGCACTGATTTGAAAAAAGGATCAACATACTAATTTAATTATAAAGAAGTTTAAAAATCCTTCAGAATTAATTTCTTGATTATTTTCTATTCACTACACATATTATTGCATTTAATTAGTTTTATTCTCAACAATTGCATCCGTAGGTTAAAAATCTCGATTTATTTTAGACTTCCAGTTCACGTACTCAGACAAACTACCTACTGGCTTAAGGAATCTCAATCTGACACTGATTAAAGGTTTTTCTGTTAAAAGAAAAGGACAATGAAAAAGGAGAAGTAGTAAAAATAGAAAAGTTATTACTTAAAAGTGTCGTCATTGTCATTGAATTTCGTGCGTGTTTTGCAATTTAATAAATCTGGCCTTACCGCTGCCACCGCCTTGAGACTAATCTAGCAGAGAGTGTAGGGGAACAGATTAGCGAGATTATCATTATTCAAATTAGGTGTAGAAAAAACACACAACGCCAACACTGATACCAGTAGAAACAAATTGAGCCACACATTATATATACACAGAGACAAAAAAAGTGAAATGGAATAGCAAGTCCTTAAAACAGCATTAACAAGGATTTCTTAGAAACAGCGCTGGCTTCGCCTTTGTTCGCCATCACACATATGGCAATTTCAATAAATCGCTATCGTTCTTTGGTTGGCATAAAAAGCGAAAAAGTAATTGAATTATCTTCTACGAGTAAGGGTAAATATATTTACCTACATACATATAGGTGTATACATGCATACATGTATACATAATCATATATCATCATAGCAAATGGATGTAATGAATTTCACTTTGATATAGGAATGTATGTATGGTGATTTTTGCTTTTGATTTGCGGATTTCTTACTATTTTATATGCAAATGAAATTTCGTTAATTAAGTTATTTGAAAT